GGGTGTTTTGTGCATAGAAAGTAAGCTCTGAGAGGTGAGTTTTTTTTTTTTTTTTTTTTATGTTCTTTTCTCTGCTGCACTGTCCAGAGTAGTACATGACACATAGTAGGCCCTGTGAATAACTGAATAATATGAAAAAGTCCAACTTTTAAAAGTTCAACACTTAAAAAAAACTGCATTGCTTTTATTTTCACTGGTCAGCTTCTTGCATGTACTGCCCTCAAGAGGCTTGGACTTTCTTATTAAATACTAGCTCTTGCTTTTTTTTCTTCTTGTAAACTTTTTAATTATAGACAACCTCAAACACACAAAAAATGAAGTGAGCATTGTAAAGAACCTCAAGTCCCCAGGACTCAGTTCAAATAATTATCGATGCTCTGCCATTCTTCTTTCACCTAGCTCCCCATCTTTCCTCCCAGAGTGGCTGCTTTTCTGTCACCCCATTAAGTTTAAAAAGATTTATTTATTTGAGAGCGCACATGAGCAAATGCAAGAACATGAGCACATGCCCCTCCAATGGACAGAGGGAGAGAGAATCTCAAGCAGACTCCCCACCGAGTGCAGAGCCCAATATGGGGCTCAATCTCATGATCCTGAGATCATGACCTGAGCCGAAACAAGAGTTGGACACTTAAAACTGACTGTGCCACCCAGGCGTCACCCCCGACCTGTTACCTCCCCCCCCCGCCAAAGGAGGCAGCCACGACAACCTGGTGAATTAAAAGGAAACCCCTGAGGGTGCCTGAGTCCTGGGCAGGCATGTGTTTCCCTTGGAGACAGAGTCCGGCGACAAAGGCAAACGTGAAGAACAAAAGGAATCCTGCTAATAGTTATAGGTTTTCAGAGTTAGCTCTGCTATGAGGAAAGAAAAAAAAAAAAACCCAAAAACAAAAAATATCCAATAAACAAAATATTTCTAAATTTGAAAAAAAAATCAATCCAGCTGCACTTGGCTGGAGATTCCCAACTTTAAAGACTTCATGAAAATCTTTAGCTAAGTAAAACCTCGGATTTTAGTTGCTCCTATTTGGTTATCTGGGAAGATCATAAGATCACATTTTCCTTAAAACCTGAAATATCAGGGGCACCCAGCTGGCTCAGTGGGTAGAGCGAGTGACTCTTGATCTCAGGGTTGTGAGTTCGTACTCCATGCTGGGTGTAGAGCCTACTTAAAAACTTGAAATATTGGGGTGCCTGGGTGGCTCAGTTGATTAAGCTTCTGATTCTTGACTTAAGCTCAGGTCTTGAGTTCAGGGTCCTGAGTTCAAGCCTTGCACTGGGCTCTACATGCATGGAGCCTACTTAAAAACAAAAAATATCATAATCTAATAGAGCGGGCTTTAGTTCCAGATTTTGGTAACACCTACTTCTTGCTTCCCAATTTTATCATACATCTTCAGTTTTTAACCTCCATCCCTACCCTTTCTTTATTGCTTCCTTTATTCACATTTTTCTACTTCTTACTTGAAGAATGCGACATTGTTATCTATGCGGCTAGATTTCTAAAATTATACTTTAGGAAATACACATAAATAAAATGTGATAAAAATGAAAATTAAAAAAAGACAAAATTAGAGAGATGAAAACAGAATGGTGGTTGTGAGGGGCTAGGGATGGGGAGGGAGGTAGAGGTGGCCGGCCCATAAGAGGTAGCACAAAAGATCCTTGTGATGAATGTTGTGTACCTTTACTGTGTGGTCACACAAATCCACACCTGTGATAAAACTGCGTAGAACTAAATACACTCACAAATAAGTGTACGTAAAACTGACGAAATCGGAGTTAAGCTCTATGGACTGTACTAATGTCAGTTTCTTGGCTTTGATATTACTCTGTATGCAAGATATTGTCAATGAAGGAAACTGGGGGAAGAGAACACAGGGCCTCTCCAGACTATCTTTTGCAACTACCCATGAATTGATAATTATTTCAAGTTTTAAAAATGAATGTTAGTAAATCCTAAAACCATTACTTCTCAGAGTTACAATTCCTATAACAGCAGACTTACTCTTCCCATTAAAAAAAAAAAAACTAATTTTGAATTCAACAATTTGTAATTGTTATCCACTTAAAAACCTTGTTTTTAGAGTGCCAGGAATCCTGTGGGCACACACACAAAACCATAAAATTATAAGTAGCAAGATGATAAAGCTGTTCAATGAATCGCCCAACGCATAACTTTGCTTACTAAAAGCTACACTGTTTTCAAGACATTTCAGCATGAAACACTCCCACAGGGACACTAAATCCGGCAAGAGACAACTATTGATAGCAAGGAGCTAGAAAGGTCAGCATCAGAAGTACACAAGGATCACAAACAAATGTAGTGCGACTTTAGTCCTGAAAGCTTAAAACCTACAAAGCAGAAAAATGAGGGGATGTAGAAAAGAGACAGAGTCAGAGCAAAATCACTTCTCCAGCATACTTTGTGGCATAATTAAATCTCAAGAAGTCCTTCCCAATCCGGGTTCCTTACTGTTAGTCAGTTACCAATTTGGCATAAAGATCTAAGCAAACAGGTTTTCTCCAAGGGCACACATATAGTTCATGGTGCCAATTCCACTATAACTGGCCCAATTTCACTGAAATCCCAAGGCGGCTTGATTAAAAGAGAAAAGAGAGAGACAGAGAGGGACAGAGCAAGCCCCCTCTAAAATCAAATCCAAAAGCAGCAGGACATTCCACTCAACAGAAGGACTTTTTCCCTGGTTTCAATAATAAAAACACAAGAAACAAATGAAAAATGCTACTTATGTTTATTACTTTGTGGTTGTATTTTAATGCTTAAAAAAAAAAACAAAAATAAAAAAACAAAACAAAGCCAATTCTAAATATTACCGGCCATCCATTGTCATCCTCATGACACTATTAAATAAAATCCTGGCTTCATAGACCAGAGCCACCTTAGGGGTTCTGGTTAAGAATATTTTTTATGCTTATATGTGTGCTCTAAAAATTAGGTTGAAATGAAAAACAAAAAAACAAATCCAACTGGCCAAAGAGGGAAGAATTCTGGTGGACAATTGGACCACTGTGTTGCAAATTAAACTGTTCACACCTGCAGAATAATCTCACCAGCATAACCAGTCTACCCTGAAATGCAGCCCCCTTACACCAAAAGGGGGATCTCTTCTTCCACTAGATCCTATCTTTCACTGATAAACTCTTTGGATGAGAAAACCAGCAGCAGATGTGAAAGCCACATGGCCCTCTACAAAGCAGGAGAGCAAAAAGCAGTGTTAAAAGAAAGGATTCCTTAAACAGCAGCTCCCTATCAAGAATGAAGATTTTATCATCTAATGCTGACTTTGTGGAAAGCAGCTAGCTATTAGACCCTGTTCCAAGACTTCAGCTAACAGCATCAGGCTGAAATCCAGGAGTTGGACTCACTTAGCTACAGCCTTGTTTTCGACTCTTGGGAACAGGGCCAAAGTGTAAAGTTAGAATAGAACAAATCCAATTTCCAACGGAAAGAAGACAATATAGGTACTCTTGCTTAATGCAGCTGATAGGCTCTGAGCACGGTTTACATTTCAGTATTTTTATTTAGTGAATTTTAGCCCTGGAATAATTTTTTCCATCATTTCCTAAAGATTCCAGACTCTGCATCAAAAAATATCTGCCAACACCCCCACTTAATATTGTGGCAATCAAGAATACTGAAAACTTTTTCAAATTCATATCTAGGTAGAAAATTTTGATTAAGCAAACTGCTTCATATAGTGTAAAACCAGAAACTTTTTAAATTGTCCTGTATTTTGTGTGACTTCATTGAACTACCAGAGGTAGCAAGCTCTAGAGTCTAAATTTGGCTACAGTTTGCACCTCTCAAACTGCCTTAATGTTTTTAACTTCACATTTTTAAAAAAAATTTAAAAATTTTTTATTACGTTTATTTTTTGAGTAATCTCTACACCCAACCTGGGGCTCAAACTTGCAACCCCAAGATCAAGAGTTGCATGCTCCTCTGACTGAGCTAGCCAGGCACCCCTGGAATTTTAGTATACAGTTCTGGTACCACTCCATTTTACCTATCCCTTTCCTTTAAAGGTGTAGACACATGTGTAAAATGCAGTCTAGAATCCAGGGATAGGAAATGGTAGCCACTAGACAAATTAAGTCTTTGGGAGTTGGAGACAATGAATACTCTAGTGTCTTCTGGGGAATACAGTTGTCCACGAAAGCCAAATGGTCAGCAATCACACATTCAACTTACGAGAAATTATACACTTCACCCATTACACTCTTTACCAAAAAGAAGTGAACAAGAGACCTAATTTAATTTGCCTCTCAAAGTGCGGTCAAAGCCACAAGGGTATTACCTGATTAGAAATGCATAATATCAGGCCCTACCCCAGATCTCCTGAGTCCAAGTTTGCATTTTATCAAGATCTCCCGTGATTCATGTACACAGTCCAGTGTGGCCTGGACGGTACGTGCCACCATGCCGCCCCATGGGCATATGCCCCAGAACAAGCAGGAGATGGGGGACACAGATCTGCACTTCCCTCAGGGGGTGTCTGTTCTCACATGCCTCACACCTGACGGAGTGGAATTCTAGTGTTTAAAGGGTCATTTGGACGATATGCCTAATACATGACGTCACTGTTTTGTCCCCCGGCTGACCTTCAGCTCTCCACCTAACAACTGGCTTGATTTAACCAAGGGCTGGCATTTTTGCATTAATGGTGAGGACATTAACAGCTCAGGCTAGCTCTGTAAAGGCCAGCAGAGTTGTCAGCCACAGGTCGACCATAACTCAGACTGTAGGAAGAACAGAGCTCTTGAACAGATGGCCACAAAAAGATAAACACCAAGCGGTGATAAGGAACCCAATCCTTCCAGTTCAAGGTTGCGTTCCCTCAAGGAAAGTTGCTATCCACTTCATTAATTCTTTAAACGTTGCAATTCTGATAAGTAAATCTCTGTTACCCAAGAGCTGCCTATCCTTGCATTACAAGCAGAAGGAAATCTTGAACGTTAGTTTAATAATCGCTTACCTGTGCGCACCTTCCTAGTTCTTTCCTGTCCAGATACTGAAATATATTGATTGCCAGTTCATAAGGCAGTTGGATATCAAAGAAGGGCACATCATCCATTTCATTCTGAAGAGAAAGAGGAAAGGGAAGTAAGTTCACAATTCAGAGGTATGAAAACGCTCCTTTATACAGCAAGAGATATTCTTCGGTGGGAAGGACAGAGGTGCTGTTGTCCCTGGGGGAGGCACACACTCTCACTACCCCCATGGGGCAGCCACCAGACCTGAGAGCCACTCTGAATTCTCACTGCCACAAGCCCACCCTCCTCACATTCACTCAGAAAATCCACAAGACCATTTCCCATAAGGCTTCAAAAAGGAGAAGGGTGCCAACTCACAATCTGGGGTATGCCACAGGAATCAGTGCAAAGGTTGTAGAAAGTCTTGTGGCCTCTAAGGAAAGTTGAGTGGTGGGCAGCCAAGAAAGGGAGCCTTGAAATCAGAGGGGCCACTGGTCCCCCCCGGACAACTCCTACTACACCCGACTTGGGAGGGCAGTAAGCCCCCACAGCCAGAGAAAATGCTGGCCTAGGTCACTAAAGTGGTTTCATCAGGAAAAGAACAGGGCTATGAAGATGAACAAGAAGTAAACGAAACGCCGCTCTTAAAGGAGGTGAGCACCACCTCCACTTGGCCACTGGAGAAACACACAGTTTCCTAATGCACTCAGGGGCCTACACTGGTTAACCTGAGTGAGCCAGTGCAAACAAAGCAGTTCTTCTTCGGTGTCATTTATTAATGTGGAGAAATTAGAGCTCGCCTGCCTTCGGATAAGCAATTAGGGATGAGGTAACGGGCTTTGAGAGATAAGGCTGTCATGACGATCCTGGTTGCACAAAGAAATAGGAGTGTGAAGCAGAAAGAAAGCCAAGTGTGTATATGTGCCCCTCTGCCTGTTCCCAAATCCACCTGCTAAAGCTCCCTTTTGCATGTATTTCTGCAAAGCTAGGGAAAGCGGGCTATTTGTCTCAATGAAACTTCCTTAAATAAAATTCATTTTTTAATAAGCTTTGGCTGACATTAGTGACTTACAGGTTGCAAGCAAATTATTAATTCACCACTCAAATACAATAGTCCTATACCACAAGGCTGCAGTCTGGAAACTGAAAATAGTCTCAGCATTTTTAAGGGAGTGTGAGCACTGATTTAGCCCCTACCAAGATCCAGGGATAAAGATCTTTGTGAAATCATGTTTCCATTCATCTATGAGTCTCAGAGCTAAAAGATAATGCAAGGCATAAGAAGGAAATGTATTCAACTTCACGAAAACAGTGCAAGGGTAAGTATGAGAGCCAAAAATGATCTCTGGAGGGAAAAAGAACAAGAGTTGACAGTTCTCTGTGGGCAAAGACGTACAGAATGTTAAATCGGCAAAGAAATGTTGGCCATACGGGGGGGAGGGCGGGGGAGAAAAAACAAAAAAAAATCTGCAAGTGTAATCAGAAGGCAAAGGGGTCCCTGCCCAAAAAAATAATGGAAAATCTTAGTCTAATGTCAGGCTGGGTCCCCTCTTACAAATAACTGGCTTCACTCATGGAGGGAGAGAGGCAGCACTTTCTCACTTGGCCCAGATATAACCTGAGACTCCTTAACACAACCGAGGCAGGGGAGACGGGTGTCACCCACCACCAGCTGAGGAAAGCCACACACAAAACCACACTATCGTTTGTGACCGTGGACTTCCTTCTGCTTTCTCTTTTGGATTATTTGACTATGGTGAGGTGAAGAAGCCTACTTTGCTTGGTAGAGAAACAAGAGAATAATGTTCCTTATCCTCATACAAGTAGAATGAAGGCAAAGAAAAGCCCGCACTCATGCAAAATGAATGCAGATCTAGCTTTTACACTGTTAAGAGACACCAGGCACTGCTTTCTTCAATCAGTCCGCGCTTTAGGACTATCACCTGGTTTCTGGACGGGACACTACTGTAACGAAACAGGAGACATCACCTTTATTTTTAGTCATTCTGGTGTAGAAAAGTCACACTTGCGGTGGCAGGAGCCTCCCCTCTTTTGCCCATTCAGATGGCCAATTCTCTGTTCTCGTCCTGGAACACAGTGCCTCCACCCCAGCAGAACCACAACCCTGCCACCGTCCTTTTTGACCCCAGCCACCACAACCTCTGGGATGGAGGTTCAGAACAAAGATTCAAACGGATAATCCTGTTTCTGCCACTTGACTAGCCATGTGACCAGGCTAAATACCTCCAAGTCTCAGCTTCCTCATCTGTAAAAGAGAGAGCATACCTACTCATAGGGTAGTTACAAGAATAAAATGAAATAATATACGGAAAGGGCATGGGGCAAGTACCAGGGCAAAGCACACAATAACTGATTGATACTGCTATATTCTTTCCTGGAGTGACACTTTGGCTCCCTTTTTCCCCCTTCAACAAGTATTTGTGGATTAGAACCACATTCCAGGTGACTCCTCTACCAGCTTGTTTACACAGAAAGTTTTGTCTCCCCCTGTCCTACCACAAGCAGAGGATTGCTGGTGACAGCAGGGAGGGGATGGCATGGTGGATGCAAAGTCACTAAGGAGTCTGAACTATGGGAACGTCCACGCTATAGGTCTTTTTTGAGAGAACTTTTCAAAGAGAATCATCAATTTTAAGACGCTATACCAGGTAACAACTAGAGAAGGATTTGCTCTAGTGTACAGTGCAGGAAAAGGAGGCAGCCACCAGAGAGCAAATGACCAGTCAGGGGTGTTATGGCCCCCCTACCAACAAAGGATCTCAAATGCCATACTGGTCACGTTGTTAGCGTACCAGTTGTGATGGGTCTTGAGAATTTTTAAGTTCTGCGGGACAACTGTTTCAAAGCACTGAATTATGTAAACACCAACATTACAAAGCCAAACTTTTATTTATTTTTTAAAAAGACTTTATTTGACAATGAGAGAGGGAACACAAGCAGAGGGAGTGGGAGAGGGAGAAGCAGGCTTCCCACGGAGCAGGGAGCCCGATGTGGGGCTCGATCCCAGGATCCTGGGATCATGACCTGAGCCGAAGGCAGACGCTTAATGACTGAGCCACCCAGGCGCCCCAAAGCCAAACTTTTAAATCATTATGCCCTTAGAATTACAAATCAAGTTCCAGACTCCCTGTTGCTACCAGTGGTTAGGGAATGGCAGGGAAAAAAAGAAACCAATGTGATAAAGGAAGGTCCACATCTTTAGACCTATGTAGACCCACAAGGTCAGGAAACCAAAGGCTGAAGTTTCATGTTGCACACTTGTAAACTCTTTGGCAAGACATTTGATCACTGGTTCTTATAGTAGATGCTACAGTGGCTCACTCAGATTCCCCCTTCTGGATCCACGACACTTATTGTCCCAAATGCTCAGATGCTGCCTGCTCTGGGCTCATTGGCTCAGCTGTCAAGCACTTCCCAGGCACTACCCGTGGTCTAACAAGCTGCCTCGTCCAAGGTTACATCCCCTACTGGAGGGCAGCCTGCATCCAGTGACTAGTCAATACCTAGGTACAAAGCCTTGTCCCCCTTGCCACAATTCAGGGCTTCTCCGGAAGCCCAACCTGCTAAACCACCTGCAGGCAAATCTCCATCCCAGTGTCCTAAAAAATCCAACCTGATTTCCTGAAGCAGTAGATGTGATGCAGGACAGTTCTATATCCAACACATTCCCAAAGGTTCTGATGCACAACTCTGGAGACAGGAGTCTAGCTAACCTACTTCCCTTCCCTCCACTCAAGGAGGTGAAATGACGTTGGAGTGACATTATTAAACCAAGAGACAGAAAAAATTAGATTCAAAGTTAAATAAGTCATTCGTAAACCTCACTTTGTAATTAGTAACAGATCACTTAAGAGACACCTTATAAAAGATTGAGAGTTAGGAGCATGTTTGACCCTGAAGTTGAAAATAATTCTTTTATAGACACCCAGGATTTGACGAGGATGTACAGCCACATCCTGGACAGAAGTGCTAGCCCAATAAGCACGCACACACTCACACTGGGGCTTGAGCACTCCCACTGGGCCCTGCCCACAGCTCGTAAATAAAAGTAAACAATACTACACCTGCTGCAAGTATGCAGAGAAGTACCTCATCATCTAAAGGGGGCTATCAGACTTCCACCTAGGCCGTTCTGAAGCACAGAGCCATCTAAAAAGTTCTAGGCCACATGAACCAATTATGATTTATATGGTTTTAAAAACATGGAAGCAGACAAGTAGACATTTCAGAAACAAAGAAATTCCAAGAATGAAGGAAAGAGGTTAAAGACACTGGAAATATTAACATAGAGAAACTTGGTCACACTGAAATTATTAATAGGATCACAACGTTTAGTCCGTTATTTTTATAGCCCAAGCAATGTGAGACTGGCCAATAATGCTACAGAAAACCAAGACTTTAAGTATTAACATGGCTTCAGTGTGAGGGAAAACACCGTTTTGATTAAATACAACCTGGCTTTTAATTTTTCAATGGCTCAAATATTGATTCTTTACCACTACGGTGACTCTTGTCCTGTGTTATACATCAAGACTATCTGTGGAGTTTTTTAAAAATGCCCCAAATTGCGTTACCCCAAATTTCCAGGGGTGGGGCTCAAACATCTCTTCCTCAGGGATCCCCAGGCACACTAGAAATCAAGAACCACAACCCTAAATCATAGGTGGATTAAAAAAAAAAAAAGGCAAAACAAAACAAAACAACCCACACAAACCCCACAAAGAGGTCATATTACTTTGTTAATTCAAAGTCAGCGAATACTAGATTTTCCCAAGTCTGCTGGACTTACTCCAAAAATTCTAAAAGAAATTGCAAATAGATCCATCCCCAGGGAGGCTGATTTGTACTCCTATGTGCTAATGTAAGACTAATTCTGTAAATGGATTGGTTTTGCGCCTTACTGTTAGAAATTTAATCTGTCTTCTCTTGTTTAGTAGAAGAAGGGATAATTACTAAGAGCCAAATCAGTGAAAAGTGAAGAAACGGCCTCAAGGTTTGTTCCCAATGTACATCTCCAGGACAAATGGAACATGAAAGCTCTCTAGGTGGTGTTTTAAGAAACCAAGAAAGGCATCTCGAACATACA